TTACATTTTTGGTAACGGTCCATTATATACACTTACTTCTTAATATGACATGAATAACCAATCGAAAGCTCAGAATGTCCCCTAGTGACTTTTTGGCCATTTTACTTCTTAGGACGCCATCTCTTCTTTTGAAGTAAGATTTTAAGGAGGTAGGTTGTGTCTTTAGTCTGCTAAAAATTTAATATTTTTACACTGAAATGCAGCTTAGTTACTAAGCTTTATAAATTATAGTGGCATTCTATTGTAATGATATAGTAATTTATGATTTTTGGTTATTGAATTGTACATATAAAAACTAAAAAAAACTATTTTGTTTCACATCATCTACATGCAAAATTTTATAAGGCTCAGTAAACGAGTACAAAGATCGTAACTAGAAGAGATAATTGTTTGCTTTGCTTCTTTATTTACTGTTCTGTGTTTAAGAAAAATAAGCTTAAGAACTTATTTGTAAATAGTAATAATGTATATACATATATAATGTATTATAACTGAAACATGACTGTACTTTACAAAATACTCATCCACTAAAACCCAGCCAAGACAGATCACTTTGTAAAGGCCAGTTTTATATTCTTGGATACAGTAGCATGAGTGCATGTGCACTGCGTTATTGTAACTTCTGTATTGTTAGCCAGGCATGACTGGAAGATCAGTATAATAAAAATAATAAATGTCTAATGTTATGAGATTTAAGCTACTTAGACTAAACATTTGTGTTTTCGTGTTATAATTTGTAGTCATTCTAGAATGAAGAAAGCATAATTTATATTTCCTAATTTTTTATGGTTGTTACGAGGTTGGTCAAATTGATATACCCTGTATAGTTAAGATAGACAAAATATAAAGTTTTACTCAAAGCAAACATCTGAAATGTATTTAACAGGTTTAGAGGTTACACAAATAATATTTGAGATTTTTGGGACGAAAAATAGTTTTTTAATCATGACATGAAAATAACTTTGCACTTGGACTAGTAACAAAACAGACTCGATATTTTCACAAACAAATCTTTAATAAAAAATACTTGGAACCATTACTGAAAGTCTACCAAATTTTTTGAAGATACACATACAGCATTAAAAGTTATAGTATAAATACTTAATGTGTACAAATATATATATATATATATATACAAACTCCTGTATTTTATACCGAGCCCTTGGCAAAAGGGTTAAAGCTACATTGCCACTAAATAACTGACAACAAATTTTTGGTCTGTAGAATTGCTACAAATGACCATGAATTGTGAAGTGAAAGGTTCTGACAATGTTGTTAACACTGACCCTAGGTCTGTGGCAACTGGTGGATCATTGACTGTTGAAAATGTTACTACCATAGTTCATTGTTGCGTCGGTTCTTTTCTCATTTTCCTGTCCCTGCATCTGAAGTGCATTCCCCTATTGACCATGAGGACAATGACTTTGATCAGCTATTTATACTTCCCAGATTTGTAGTAGGTTTCTTGTTTACCTGTTGACGACAATGTTCTTTATTCAAATATCTATAACTTTGACTTCTCTGGTTTGTTTTTTACTTTCCGTTTTTCCTATGTCCTTTGATGCTTCATGTTCCTTAATAGATGACTCATGTTTTCTTCTCACTCTCAAATGCCTTGACCTACTTGACTCCTTGAATGTTATGGCTTATGGTCAGTTACCTTTTCTGTTCCCAATTTCTTGAATCCCTTCTACTTTTAACTCCCATATTTTCCCATCTTTGCCTTTTTCTTACCAATTTCCTTTGTTTCCTATCCTCTCTTTATCTCATATCTGAAGCTTTACACAGTGATCCTATTAGTTTTTCTGGAGACCTATGGTCAGTCCTATTCAATACCTTGAACAAGGGTTTGAGATCTGCTTTGTTTCTGCTTACTTGGTTTCTCTGTTGTTGGGACCTTCTGGGACATGACAGTCTTGTCTGTTGCATTTGTCTTCCCCATTTTTACCTCCATGATGTATCTTTGGCTCCTTTTCTTTTCCTTGAAATCTGTGGAGGTGTTTTTATGTTTTGGAAACTAAGGACAAAGCTACCTGACACCAGTCCTACCTTTCCTCCTTGGTTTCTCATTTCTCACAATCTTATGAGTCCATTCCTATTTCTCAACCCTGTAATCCCTCCATATATCTCTCTCTCATTAGGTTGGCCATCATATGTCCTGTTGGTTACTCCTTCCCTTTCTACCATGTTGGCTCAGGCCCTCTAGGGGCATTCTATTTCTGTTTGCTGACCTTTAGACCCTTTTTTTTGTAGCCAACCAATTGGTCATTCAAGTTCTTTACTTCTTGTCTTATCCTCCTCTGTCCTTTTTACCTTTCCTTCCTCCTTCCAATCCACAGCAGTTTCTGCATCTTGAGGCTGTGTTAACAAATCTCCAGGGTTGTATTTTCATCTTTTTGCTGCCCCCCCAAAAGACCAGAGACTGGCATCATGTCAACCATTTTTCTCTTCACCATTATCTGGTTCAAGATGGAGGAGTTTCTTCTTCTCCATTGGTCCTTTTCCTCTGAACTATGGATGACCAAGATCAATGTCTTGGACTTTTTTCTCTATATTCCATTCTGTTTCCCACAATTTTCAAATAATTTCCTTCATTTCATTCTCCAAGATCAGGCTCCTTACATCTTCAACCAAGTCATGGAAGTGTTTACTTCCCATGTTCACAGTCAAGAATTTGCTTCTATTATTACACGAATGACTAGTTTCTCCTTGCCTCTTCTTGGCCATGTTACTTCTCCTCCAAGAGGCAACTCATCTGGGTTGGCTGGTCAACTTTTCCAAGTAATTCCTGACTCCAGCTCAATACTTAGTCCATCTTGGAGTCTTCTTCAATTTTTGACTCAGTCTTCTCCCATTCATTTGCAAGACATGGAGTATCTAGTCACCTCAACTCTTGCCTCTCCTATACTTCTTATGTGATAGGTTCTCTCTCTTTTGAAGACTCTCATATCTATGGAACACTTTGTTCCTCCAGACCAGGCTCACATGAGGCTTCTTCAATGGACTTTGAGCATCCAATGGAAAATCTCTCATGATTCTCTGTCCTTTCTTCTGATGCTGCCACCTTCTCATCTCAAGGATCTGTTTTAGTGATTGGATTGTGCCAACACTATGGTCAGTATTCGACAGCCCTCCCTTCCCGGTTCATGTCTCCTGTGGAACTTGCCTTCCATATCAATGTTCTGAAACTCATGACTGCATATTTGGCATGTTCCTATTTCCTATCTCATCTTGTGGATCACTTGGTTATGATCCCTTTGACAATTCTACAGTTGTTTTCATATCAATCATCAGGGTGGGACTTGCTCCAGGGGCATTTACTTCTGCATGTTGGACTTTCTGCATTAGGCCCACTCACTTTTAATCTCAGTCTTCCTCATCCAGAAGCTGTCATGTTTGTACACTAACAATTTGTCAGTACAAAACTCATTTCACTGTTTATTAAAAATTTGATACAGAATATGTGTTATTAGTAAAATTTCTCACTTTCATTAACAATAACATTGACTTCTTAACTTCACCTTTAAACAAATTTTCTTCCTACAAAATATTTCATTACATATCAGTAGAATTTCTTGTTTGGATAATTTTCAACTAACAGTAGTTATTGCATTGCAGTTCTGGAATAATCTTAATATTCCAGTCAGTGAGTAAGAAAAGATCCAACAAATAAAAACAGTATTCCAATACATTTTTCAAGATTACACAGAACTGTTTTTACCTTTGTGAAAAATTGTAGGTACAAGTCATTTTAAATATTGTTGATTTTTAGAATCATGAGATTAAGTTATGCCATTTTCTAGCACATTAAAAAATGATAATATAGCATATTGATATACAGCCATTATGCCTAACCTGTTTGCTAGGGTTGGAAAATTTTACAAAAAGAATATTTTGAAATAGAAATTTACATCATTTTAGAATAGAATCCAAAACTTTATGAAGAAATATTAAAATGATAGCCAAATTAGTTCACCCATTTTCTAATATTTACCATTCAGGTGTCTTGTGAAACAGATTGATGAACAGGTTTGCACATGTTGTTTTGTTTTGCTGTGCTGTAATTCACTAGTCACAGCGAAATGGTGAAAAGCACCCAGTGTTCCTTGTGTGTGGCTTCAGTTGGTCAAATGTGTTCCCAATACCACTGTTGAAACAAAACATGAAATTATTGTAGTGTTGTTACAAATAATATTTCAACATTTTTTATAGTATGTATGTACTCATAAAGTTATTAAAGCTGTACATTAATATTTAGAAAAATCTTATCCAATAACCAATGTAAGTGTATTTTTGAAATAGATACTGTTTTAATTTTGTGCTCTCTATTCTACAGCATCTATAACTGTTTACATAATTCTTGGAAGTACTGGCATCTTTTTAATTAGCTCTAGTGATTTGAATTGAATAGTTTTCTTTAGCTTTCATTCTGTTTGTAGGCAGTTATAAGATTTAAATCTTGCAATTAAAGCAAGTTTTTATGTGCACTGTAAATCTTGTAAAGTTTATGGGATTAATGACAATAGTGTTTAGCTGTATAGCTGTTTGGTGGCATGCATGAATTAAAGAACTATATTTTCACAGGAAAATATATAGTTTTAAATTTTTCATTAAATAGATTTCAACGTCTAAACATATTTGTCATAAAAATATCCAAATTTTCATTAGTTTGGAGAATGGAGAAGTAAAATTCAAAACTATGTTGGTGAATATACTAAATGAATTATGATTGCTGCTATGAAGGAAATTAAGTAACATCACAAGTACCAATCTGTTTGCTCGTTAAAGCAAGTTGATCCTCTTTTATTTATTTATTACATCAAGTCTTTCAAAACTTAGCAAATCAAATGGAATAAGGTTTTCATATTAAGCAAAGAAATGTATATTTGTACATGTATATTTTAAGTATGAACCATATAAATCTGGGAATTGTTCTTTACAAGTGAAAAGCACCATGGTCAGTGATATTCAAAATATGCATATGATTCTACTCTTTGCAGGCAACAGTCATGTAAAAATTCAGAGGAACCAACAGAATAACAAAGTCACTGTTCATTGAAGTATAGCATTGAAGCTTTTCTGATATTAGGATGTCGTATTTTCGACTTGTCTCAGCACATTTAGTAGAAGCAACTCTAAATGTCAACGTATTTCTAAAGCTTTGTTCCTGAAACATATTTTACAAAATCTCCAAATGTTATGGATGTTTGTTTATTTTACATCTGTGTGAAGCAAAAAAGAGTAAATCTGAATTTTTTTTCTCATCAAAACCTTTGTATTTAGTTCAAAATAATAATAAAACCATTTTCCTAGATTATTGGTGGTGGTTATCTTTTACCTAAGTTACAACTACAATGAATCAATAAGTAGGTGTTATGTTGTTTTATATATATTTATATGGATGTCAATGATCTAGTTACAGAGTATGACAAATTAAGTTTATATTTTCTTTTTTTCACTCATTTTTGTTATTTGATGTATTTGACCATATCTAAGGATGAAAGTTTAATTTGAATCATTATTGGTTGCTTCTAAGTTTAAAATTCTCTAGAATGTCATTTTAATATTATCTGTTTATTAACTAATACTAACAAGGCAAGTATGCAAGTATATTGTGAATTAAAAAACAGAATCAGTTAGTGAATGATATTAATTAGAAAGATAATTATTCAAATTTAGTACTTTCAGAATGTCAACTTTACGGCATCGGCTTGGTATTTTTTATGCTAGAATAATATTACACTTATGTATTTGATGCCTTCATTTACATTTAAAAAGTGTTGTTTTGGGTAATTTTATTCTTATGTTGTGTATTTTTAAACAGTTAATTTTTTTGTTGGTCATCATAATTACTTGAAACACTTAACTATTTTCTTGGGTGCTTTATTATTTTTAAGACTTTAATTAACCATGTAACTGTATTGTGTGTAATGAATATTACTGACTTCTTTCTTTAATCTAAAAGAATTGGTTTGCTGCAAATAATTCTTTTAAAAATACAGAGACCAAGTTGTGTGTCTATGAAAATATTTTAAAAGTACAAAAAATAGAGGTTTTTTGGACAGATTAATCAACATTTCCAGTTGTTGAGATTGTTGTGTTTTTGTAGTTCATAGTTTTAATTATCAGTGCACTGAAGATGATGTGTACATCTTTATATAATATTTGCAAATCTAATGTGTAGATTTTAAGTTAGTGTAACATTCAGGTGTAAGTGCTGATTGGTTGGATTATAATTATTTTTTTTTGTTGCCAGGAAATGACACTTTTCTTTTCTATTAAAGAATGTAGAAAGGGAAGTTGTGAGAACAACGGTAATAAATATTGTATTGTGGTTTGTAACAAATGTAAGTCAGACAAAGAGCTACTGGATGTTTATTTATGCATTGAGGACCAAAATATTTGAGGATAATGTTTATAGTTTTATAATGCAGAATAAAAAATTAGCTTTTTGCACAAACTGACAACCAGTTTTTCACAAGTTTTTATTGGTACAGTGATTTCTTAGCCTTTATTATTATGAGGTAGGGGAGAGTAAATTTCTTAATTTTAATTTTTCATAGGATAATAGTTTACTTCTCAAAAATGTTAGTATCTACTTTTAAGTGATTTGTTACTTAACTAGATCATTTAAAGACAAAAGGTCATAAAAACCAAGAGTTGCTTAAAATATACAGTCTTTGTAACAGGTTTTTTCAAACATTAAAAATCAAAAAGGCTGAATAAGAGACTGTATGACAGAATTCAAGGAATGTTGAAATTTGATTTCTATTCATCTATTTCTGCTAATACTGACTATTATATTATTTAACAAATAAAGAGTAGGTGAAACAAATTTCCTTTAACTTTGTAAACATTCATCACAGGATAACATTTGATCATTCAAGTTAATGGTATTAATCTCTACTTTATTATTAATGAAAATAAAAATATGATTGGCTATTTGAGTAAGTTACTAGAGCTCAAAAGGTCACAGACTAGTGAGCCTTTTAAAATATGTGTATTTTGTAATAGTTTTTTTAATCTACTAAATTATAATATGGATGATTTTACCTGAGAAACATTCAGATTTTTAACAAAAAGTTTTTAAATCACCAAAAGAAAAGTTTGGCAACAACATCCAGGCTTGTGAGAGGAAACTCGTATTTTACATGTATTTTATGACTTGGCATGGCAGTATGTCTTTTCTTACCAGTGAATTCTAGTCAATCTATTAGGGGGAAATGTCATAGATGTGACAAGAGAAAATCACATGTAATTCAAAATACTTGGAAGAATATTTAAAGTATAAAATATTAACCAAGAAGTATTTGAAAACACTAAATATTTAAAATACTTGTACATCATAGTTTTTACCTCTAAAGATCAAGTACCTTTTCTTTTTTAACACATAGAAGTTTATTTTAGGAGGTAGTTATAAAAGAACTATAACAAACACATAGTATATAAAATTCTTTAGTTGAAGTTGGCGATTTTAATAAACAGAAGAATCTCTAGCATTTTGTTGGAGAGAAGGTTATGCTTTAAGGAAAGAATAATAGCTCCTATAAGTAATGTGGCCTCAATTCTGGCTGAAGGTGCAGTAGCTGTATTGAATTTCTTGGAGAGTTGTGTGATGTTTTTGAACTTTTTCAAGGTAGTTAACTCTCTTGATTTATTTTTGAGAAAACAGGAGGAGGTTTAAATCAGTAGAGTTTGATTTATTTGTTTGATCAAACTCAAAATGAAATGTCCTGGATTGGGGGTGTCAGAATCAAACATTGATTCATTCAAGTATTAGTTTTGAAGTTATGCAGTGACAAATTCTTTACATGCTTCTATTACTTCATTAGTGTTGCATAACCATTGAAATTTGAACCAGGGATGATTGATAATGGCAAGTAAGAGAATGTGTACTTTGTGCCATATACTTTTATTTTCAGTTTTACTGAAGTTTATCAGAAATTTGAGCCAGTGATCCAGCCCTTCCAAAATTCTTCCAAATGTCTGTAATACACAAAATCACTTTCCTTTAAAATACTCTTTTCTTTACAGTAAAAACAATTGATAAGATTAATCCCAATGAGCTGTCCTTGGCGTGTAGTGTATAAATCATATTCTATGAGGAAGTTAAGTTCTTGAAGTTTAAATTTTACAACTTAAACAGCCTTGCAGATGACATCCAGTTTGCCCTTTAAAGATAAAGGCTGACTCACAAAATCATAATAGTGTTTCACCACATTATTACTGGTTTTATTGTATTTTTTCATACAAATTTCTTCAATAGCATCATTTACTTTTTGAACTCCTGCTATCCTTGTTGGAGGCTGTGATGCACTTAGACATTGCTGCATTATAATTTCTTTCATAGCATACATCTGGCTTTTATGGCATCAGATGTGGATCAGATTAGACACATGGAAACTGCACCTTCCAAGAGGTGGAAAAATAGGGAATTCCAAGATGATATACTCACCTTATCACACATTTTAACTATTTTCCTTACACATCTGCCAGAGAGACTTGCACACCATTAGCCTAAGGCAACCCTCACCTAATTCCATGTGAATAAGTTACTGTATAATGACATCATAATGCAGTAAAAGCCCTCCACCATTAGGAGGGCAACACATCTCCATGAACAGTAACTCTCGTATGCATTTGCACTCATAGAAATTTCATTCTTCACCTCAGATTTGTATTGAACAGAAGTGATTTGTTTTAGATAGAACTTTACTATTCGTGAAATGACCTTAGCCATTCAACCTCTTTCAGAATTTCATTGTTATGTATGTTTCTTTCCATCTCTTTTGTCTATGTTCTTTTTTTTTTTTCATTTTCTCACTCATGATTCTTGGGTTTATGTTGTCTTTTCTTCTTTGCTGATTATTAGTTTTATTCTTTCATAGCTCCTTTCACATGCCCTAATGCCTCATCCCTCTCACATTTGTGACTCCTTTTGTCCTAATTTATAGACTTTTTTCCCTTCCCTGTAATTGTTATCTATCTGGTCAACTTGGGGATTAAGCCCCTTATTTTCTGTCTCATTTTCTAGTTCCTCATTTTTGTATTTTCTTCTTTTTCACTTTATTCTCCTGTTTTCTCTCCCTTAACTCTGTCTGTTATCTGGGGCACTTCTTTTTGCTTCATATGGGCCTTTGTAGGTGTTTCTTCCCTTCTCTGTTTAGTCTGTTCCACTTCTTCTGCTCTATCCCTCCATACTTTGTTCCCCTGCTGTCAGGACCCCTTGGATCAGGTTATGTTCTTTACTATACTCATTTCTTCTTGTGTACTTATTCATCTGGCTCCCTTTCTTTGCCCAGATGCCTTCAGTGGTGTTTCTTTCTCCCTAGTGACCATGACTAATGTTATACAGCTTCTGTCCTCACTATCTTACCAGCTTTATTCCTCCTTCTTTGCCTTGCCCTTTACTCCTTTTCCTTGTCTAGATCAGTCTCCTCCAAACCTTCCCATTCCTTGTTCCAGGCATTCTTCTTTTTTTCATTTTTCCTTTATCAGTAGTCTTCTCAAGGACTATCATTAATTAAACTCTGTGGGTACCTATCTCCTCTACTGCTATTAGTCTCAATTCCTGCCAACAATCACTTCTCTTCTGTTTTTGTTTCTCCTCTTTCTGACCCCATCTATGGTCTTCTTCACCTGTTCTGTGGTTGGTCAGAGTCAATGTGTCTGACACCTTCCAACACATTTCTCTCAGCTCCTCCTTCCTTTGTTTTCTATGTTTTATCCACTTTTTTGTGTCTTCCCATTCCATGATCTCTTTGACTCAGTGATGATCCCTCTTGCATTCATTGGCATTATGAGAGCCCTCCCTTGCCATATTCATGGCCTGGGGTTGGCATTCCTTTCTAGACCTATTTTCTACTGTTATTTGTTTTTTGGGATATTTTCTCTTTCCATTCCTCCCTTCTTTTACTGTGGCTACTTGGTTGTAAAGGGGGGGACTTATTCTGGGATCTATGTCCATTCTCGCCCCCATTCAATGTTTTGTACTTTCAGATGTTTCCTTTCTCTCTTGTCTCAACAGAGTTTAGCTTATCTTCTTCTTATGAAAACAATGGCATATCTGGTCACCAGGTTTTACACTTCTCATTCTCTTCCTGCATGAGAGGTTCTTTCACTTTTGGAGACTCTGACTATCAAAAACTGCAAACTTATTACTACCTTATATTCTAAACCATGTTTTAAATGTATTATTCTACACTTTGACTTGCGTGATATACTAAAGAGGATGTCATTATTGGTCAACTTAAAAAAATTGGAAAATCTGCAACACCATGGATGGTAAATTGCAAGCCAGGAGGAAACTTCAAAAGCTTCTATTGTTCAATGGCTATCCTTATAGTTACATTACTAAGACATTTCACAATTTTGACTGGGAAGATTTTAACACATGAAAGCAAAAAATAAACCACTATATCAAACGCTATTTCATGGGTTATACCCTTTATGTATGAACCTTTAACTACTGCTATCTGTCAAGTGATTAGAAGATCTGGTTTGGATATCCACATCATACAGGAATCTGGTAAAAATCTTAAGGATATTCTTCAATAACAATGATCTACTAAAATCTAAAAAGTGCTTTGCTAAGACCGATGGTTTAGAGAAAGCTTGCACACTTAAGAACACTGTCTGTGAAATAACATTTCATCTATATATTTATGTGAATCTAGCCTCCAATACATGATTGTTTCAAAGAACATATTCGTGCCATTGTCAATCTTAACAATAAAGAAGCTACTGCTGAACATCACTTCAACATACATGGCATAACTAACAAGACACCTTATTCAATCAAAATTTTACAGATTTGTGCCAACTTTCTTGACAGGAAAGGTATGGAATCTCTTTTGATTAAATCAAAATGTCATTCTATTAATAGATACAATGCCTAGCTCTTGTAAAAAGTATTATTCTTGTAAGGTTTATTCTATTTATGTTTTTTTACATTAACTTTTATGATCAGTGACTCCAAACTGTTTAACAAAACTTTTAGTATGTTTCACCATGCACCAGTGTATGTTATAATTGTACTTTTCTTTTCTTTTACTATAAAATCAGTTTTGTAACCTGTGATGCTCAAAGACCTTAAAAAAATACACAGGCTGAAACATCAGATAGAATAAAAAACACATTTATATGAAGTTGTTTGTTGTCTTACTTGAAAATATGCAGCTTTTAGTTTTATTTAGATAAAACTTTACTAACATACATATAGTATGTACATAAACACATTAAAGAATAATTGTATTCCTTCAATTATTGGAGACAATAAATGAAGGATGCACCAACCATTTATCATTGATGTAAATATCTTGTATTTTCACTTTTTAGCTGCAGCATAGCAGCTCATAGAATGGCTGAGTTTTTTCAAGTGCAAACTCTTAGTTAATAACTCCATCATCTCTTGACTGATTTGAGATCTAATTACAGTTTTGGACTCAGGTGGTCAAACTCTTTCATTTGATGTATTTGACCATGCCTAAGGTCTCAAAGATTAATTTACTCTAATCCTGCCCAAAATAATTTCAAACTGAGGGTAGGATGATAGAGATCCTGATGAGTAATAAAATTGAGTCAGGTATATGTGTGCCCCATGCTTAATATTGCTAGTGCACAAAAATACAACTAATAAAAAGGTCTTGTTGATTAATTTACTCTAATCTTGCCTAAAAGAATTTCAATGCCAAGGATATTAAGGATCCCTCTTGTTTTTGTTATATGTATTCAACAGAAGCTCTATACTTACAGAAAATTTTTTTAACTAAATAGAAAATTGGCCTTAGATTAAACTTCTTGAAATGTAGACCTGCCAAAAAAAAGCCTGTTTTTGTCATTGACAGTCTGTTGTAAATTAATATTAACTAATGTCTGATACTGATATTTGATTGAAATGACACTGCAAATGTAACGCATTTCATTATACATATCTAGAATTCAGCGTATTAGCCAGTTGTCAGTGTAGTTGTGTATGTGCTCTAGGATCAGTAAATACTTGAATACTACAGAATCATTTCATGCTCAGTATAGTAGGGGTGTGTGAGTACCAAAACATTAGCAACTGGAAAATAAAACAATAGACCAAATTGCCACAAACATTTTGGAGTTTGTCAAAGGTTTTTATAACTACATGAAAATAATTTTTGTTTAGCATTAGTATCAGTGTTGTAAGTGAATATGTTTCATTACATGCAGAAAATATTAAGTATGAGAGAAAACTTCGATATCAAATTAATTACAGGTTTAATTGGATTGAAATCCAGTTGGTTTGAGATACTGATTGAATATAAAGGATCTTTTTTTTTATTGTAAATTTTAGTTTTTTAAGAAAAAAAATGTCTATTTTAATCTGTGTTCAACTTTTTTTTTCTTAACCAGATTAACAGAATCAATTTGAAAAAAAATATCCTACATGGATAAAAAAAAAATGGTTTAGGGAAAGGTGTGCTTTCACACATTATTTTGATTGATCAAGCCATGTTACTGCATTTTCTTTGCCTAGTCAGTTTATTGGGTTCTTTGTAATGTAATTTATTTTTTTGGAATTTAATTGAGTGCTCTTATTATGTAACTACACTTTTCAGGTTCAAATATATAATTGCTGTAGTAGAAGTTATTGAAGTTAAATTGTTAATAGATGTTTCTGAGAATAAAAAGTATTTCTGAAGTAATGACTTAATTGTTCTTTTTTGTGTGTATCACTTTATTCCAATTTTAAAAAAACCAACTTATAATTAATATATGTAATAAAATTTCTGATTTACAAGAAAAAGCTTTGTCTACAATAACTTCCATGCTATATTCATTTATTCATTGCAGTCATCAATGAATATTATTTTGACTTCACAAATATCAAATAACAGAGACATGTGAGTGTATTCAATTAATCATAGTAGAGACCTATGCCAGTGGCTGAGTGGTAAGTTTGAGAGCTTAAAATATTAGAAATTCTGTAGTTGATTCCTAAGATGGGCATAGTATAGATAGACATAGTGAAGCAATTATGGAAGAAACACTGAAATGTTAAAATACAGAGAATAAAGCAATAGCATCATAAAAGAATTTATACAAAATTAATTCTGTTGTAAAGACGTTTTATTTTTCTATAAATTATTTTCTCAGTTGTTACCCACAATTAGTTAATTGAGGATTAGATATGAATATAAATACTTAGTTCTAGAGGAAGCATTATCTGGATAATGTTCTATTTATGAAAACATTCAGTACTTGATTATTTATAATTCACAATGTGAAGTTAGTTAACCCACTAGTTTCCAAGGGAATGTGAGAGTATCTGGTGTTTCTTAAAATGTTGACACTGTGAGGAGTTGTGTTGATAAGCACTGGCAATTCGTCTGGAGGCTGGCTTTCTGGTAGGAGGGAGAAGAGTTTCTCCACTAATGTTACCAGTACCTTGTGGCTATATACTGCCCTATTCATTCCTCATCTTTTGCTTTTTCTAGCTACACCATATGATACTTTGTTTTCCAGCAATCTCGTTCCCTTTGAATGCTGACGACCTTCAATGGTTGACATTTTTGCCTTATTATTGCAGATGATGTTGATATCCTGCCAGTAGGGGATTCTCTTGCAAGCTTGTCAGCTTCCTCATTTACTCCTGCATCACCTGGCACATACATCCAAGTGATGTTAATACAATGCAGTTGCTTTCTATCAACCATCTAGGAACCAATCACTCTGAATTCTACACCAATGAGTCAGTTTCAAATATTATTTTGGTGGCACTCTATTTGTGATTTATTGCTTTCAGCAATCTAGAAGATAATTTATTTCATGGCTTCCAGCTTCATCTTTGTGCTTCTTGTGGGAAACTTGAATGCTCCATCAGCCTTATGCAGAGTACTGTTGGTGCACCAGATTATGAATGCCCAACTAACTCTCTCACTATATGTGGTGTAGGAAACATCTATGGTTATAATGACGGATGTCTATCAACTCTCCTCAGTCTTTGAATAGGTAGTGGTATGTTTTTTCTGCTTAACCTTCTCCCCAAGCTACATTTTCTGTCTTGGCTTTTTTTTCCACAGTTATCAGTGGTGGCAAGTGTTTATTTTATATGGGGGCATCTCAGATCTGGTGGTAACCAATTATGTCAATGGTGGCTTTATGGTATTTGTCCACCCATGATTGTTTCCTGAAACATCTTTTAGACGATCCTCTGCTTGGTGGGAATCTGCTGGGTTATTGTTAAGTAGTAAGGAGCAATGGCTCGATGACGGTATGCATGGTCTTTTACACTACAAGGCTCTAGTGAAAAATTTTGTTTGTAAGCACTTTTGGTGCTCTGCAATGCTGCTAAGGCTTGGGTGTAATTAGTCCTTGATATGGGTGGCTGAACTAGATCTCATTACAAGTCTTAAACAGTTGTTTTATATCTTTTAAATCTTATCTAGCTGCATAACGTTAACTCTTACTGATCACAGATGGTGCAAATTCCAGGATGGAGTAGAAAATATTTTGGACATTGTATGGCTTTATTTTCTACTGTAACTTTAAGTGATGACTTAGTAAATTGATTAAATTGATGACTTTAGTATTCCCATGATGATAATCAAACTGGTGAAGTTGAGATGTCTCTCAAAGGTTACCACTAAGTGTTTCTTTTAGAGAGATAGCTGTGCCTGAAAAAGATGTGATAATGGTATGACTATCAGCATTGCCGTTGTTTAATGTGTAGAACACGTTTGTGGTTTTACAGGATTCGTCATTTGCACACAATGCTGAAGAATGGTTGAATCTTTTTCTCAGTTTCAGCCTTGTTATCACATCTGCTGTACATTATAATTTTGTCAGCTAAAGTTAACATACAGTATCTGGATGGATTGTTAAGGCAGACTTAGATCTATGATGAAGATGTTGAATAGGACTGGCAAGAGTAGTGATCTTTGAGGCAGACTAGTCTCGATGGTGATGCAGTCAGATGGCCAACATCCACGTTTTATGGTGCATCTTCTGGTATTTAGCGTGGCTATAATCTAAATTACAAATGTTACTCTGATGCAAGTTCTATGCATTTTGTCAGCAAGGATAGATAGCTGGACTCTATTTTAGGCATATTTCAGAACTGAAGCTACTTCTAGATTATTCTGACAATTTTTAAGGTTCCCATGTATCAGCTTCAGATGTAACAGAATTGATCAGTTGTTCCATTACACTGTAATAACCACCTAATGATGAGGGTAGTGGTGGTTCAATCAAGCCTTCTAGCTTACTTGTTATGTTAGCCATAAGCTTATGAAACCACCAAAATGAAGTTCCTGTTAGACCGGATTTGCTGCACAGTTCATTCCATTTCATGCCTCGTATTTTGGGACTTGATCTCCTGTATATGGCATATGCTGTATTATGTGCAATCTTTTCCTCCTCTATTCAAGCTGTATCATAACTTATTCACATGGACTCAGCCTGGAGGAGACTGCACGATTCAGAGCTTTATCAGTAACACTGTTCCGCCAGTATTGGGTGGTCCTTTCCAGAAGCTGTTGTCTTGACTTTGTTAATGGTGGAGATAGGCTTAAAGATAGGTATATTAGCTTTTTGGTACGAGTTTCTGGGTTGTTTTATACCATGTATCTTCCATTCTTCACGCACACCTCAACATGAGTTGATCACTGCTAACATTGTTTTCATATCAGTTAGAGATGACACTCAAGGTGGGAAGAGCAAAGGCAAGATCTATACAATAGTCTCCGTCATCTTAGTACTCAATATTTCTTTTTGTTTCACTCAAGTTTAGCAGCATACGGTTTGTGGCTATAATGTTAGATATACTGTTTGTAATTGGTGAACTCGGTGACACGCAAAGCAATGTCTGGTGCTGAGTTTATTTAGATCCCCCAGTGGGTTAGTGGTAAGTTTACAATCTTACAACCTTAAAATCTGGGGTTCGATTACCCATGGTGGACACAGAACTCAATGTGGCTTTACATTATCTAGATAAAAAACTGTCATGTTTTTTTTATTATTTGGTTCTCCTTTTCGCTAAATATAGCTGGAATCTGCTCAAAAATAACAAAAAAGATAATTGGCATCGATGCTGGTCATTATAACTTATTTCACCAAATAAGCTGAAGCTTATATTTGGTCGATGAATTAACATAATGCATGACTAATTTGTTGGTGG